TTCGCCTATTTGGTTAGGGAGATACCGTCCCACATACACTATTTGATTTAAGCTGAAGTCGTCATAGGATTCATCTCTGGGACTCTGATGATGATTATTATCATATAATAGCCAAGTTCCCTAATGTCTTTGATTGCAGATTTTAAGGTTCGATGCTCAATCACTGAGCTTCAGAGAACTGGTTTCAGGACTGCCCAATTTATTAGGTACAACGAAACGTGTTGCCGGTTAAATGCGTTAGCGAATTTATTTCTAAACCTCCAAGTTTAAGTGCTCCTCAATGAATTCAACATTTTAAAAGTAAATTCTAAAAATTGTTAAAAAATTTTTATCTTATTGCTTGAAAAGTGGTTAACCGATCATTCAAATGACTTTTCTGTTGATCTAGATCAAATTTTTCGATTGCTGATCATTGATCATATTTCTTCTCCTTTTCAGATACAGATACAGATACAGATACCAACACAGGCTCAATCAAAATCAAGGTCGGGATTTCGGTGTCGGGAGTAGTAGTTTTGTTCGTCATCATCATCATAGGTGTGTGGTGGCGTTATTTTAAGAAATGAATCCAGGCCTCGAAGATCAATATGAATCTATCCAAAGTTGCCTTTTTTACCTTTTTACACAACATACTTAGTGTTAAGCTTAAAACGCAACAAGCGAAATGAATTGGAACAGGAGTAAAATGTTTGTAGAGCTCCTTTTACTAAATTTGTGTAAGGACTAGCCTTTGCCAAGCTACTTATTTTAAAGAAAAAGTATAAAGTGAGCGAGCGAAAAATGATGTTAGCGATAGCCTGTTATATGTTATACAAGGGCTCGAACGGGGATTTTAGCCATCAATCGATTTACGCCCGAACTATATAATCAGTTAAGGGAATATGCTTATTTTTCTACTCTCTACCGTGGTCAAACTACTAATGGATGGAGCCTTAAGTTATCACCCCATAAACGTAGAGTTTCACGTCTTTTATCATGAGTTATACAACCCATAGCTTTCTTTCTCTTCAAAATATATTTTTCGTGAACAAATCAAAATTGAAATATTGCTACTTGAAAAAAGGAGCAAATAACAAATCAACAGAGCGCGAGTTCAGGCCTTAATAACAGCCACCATTTGGTCAAGGAGCGCGCAACCTATGCGCAACGCATTATGCGCAGTAGAGATACGCAATCGGCAAGACTTTGAAATTAACAGCTATATTGAATCTCCAAAAACTCTATCGACGCTGATGCACAAATGTAAATTATCAAAACTTAGAAAGAGGAAATCGTACCCTTAATTTTAATTGTTTTCTCATTTTCCATGTATATGTTGTTTGACCGCGGTGCACTTTGAATGAAATGTTATCGATGATAAAACCCGAGTGCAACGTCAATATCATGCAAAGCTGGTTAGAATTCTCACTCGAATGATGGCTCAAGTCCTTAAGAGATGTTTAAGTATCTTTGTATTGAAATGACCTTTTAGGCTGTTTTTTGTTGATATAACCAGGTGTCAATTCTACTCTCTAGTATTTTTGTACTTGGATTTTCCGCCCTAAGTTCCAAACCATATTCTTTGTGGCAACCATAAAAACTGCATAAATCACGAGTGAATCAACGTGATCCTCTTTTGGACTCAGTAAATACAACTTGTGCTGACAAAGGAAAGACGAAAGATGTGTTTTGCTTCAAAACTGATTGACTTGCACTGGTTTTTCTCTGGAATGGTGCTCACATACCTCTGGACTGAAAATGTGTCAGAGAAGACCATCCCAGTATTTTATCAAACATCGAAAGTGCTTAAAGGAGTGTGCTTAAGCTTTAAGAAGTTTCATGTATATTCACAGTGTTAAATAACCCCACACAAGGCTAGTGAAAAGTTTTTTTGTGCTCGTCCTTTAATTTTTTCTCATTTATACTGTTATAAGATGATTTCGAGAGCAATTTGTATTCAATCAGCACGAGTATATTTGGCAAAGATTATAACCGAAAAAAACGTAGCAGTCAGAAGGCTTTCGAGAGCCTATCCCAAAGTGTCTTAGAAATAATTTGAATACTACACTATGTTTCAACTTTTGAACCCGATTTCAATTTTATGATCGACTGGGCATTAGCTTGCATTCTCTTAGCCATTGGGTATGTTGGAACTTCCGCAATAATTGCATCATTAATGATATTTACTGAATAAACGATCAAAATCTTTGCCTTAGTCTGTCTTCTATTCTCTGAATGCGAAATCTTTTAATCCCCTTTAAGCCATAGAAACGTCATGAAGTAATCACACTTCTTTGGAAGACAAGAGACACCTCATTTCTCGTTGTTTCTGTGGTTTATGGCCATGTTCTCTGAGCCATACTGTAGTGTTGTAAATGTGGGGGGAGGGGGGAGGGGGGAGGGGAAGTGGAAGCTTGAGTATATAAAAAGCAGTTAAAACATTTTTTTTTTAATATAACAAGAGTTGGGCATCGTAGGACAAATTCATTTAAATAACCATGACATTTTTCAAACATTTAACGGAAGAAAGTGACAGTCATGTCAACGACTAGCCTCTGTTTGTGATGCAAACAACAAAATCATTAGCTGACTGCACTGAGTAGTGCTTTATTTGAAATAAACCGCTAACTTCACGCGTACTTTTGATAGCACTCCAAGGTTCTTGAAAATATAAACTGCTTTCCTCTCCAGATCATTGCTCCATCGCTTAACATTTCACTTTCCTTTTTCATGACATAGAACCACCACGACCATGACAACGACAGCTCCAATCAAACAGGATGCCTGAAAGCACACCTTTATTGACCCCTGTGAAAATGAAAATTTTAATTTTCAGTCAGCGAGATATAGAGAATAATACTTGGCGCGCGTAGATATGGGATTTCTCTTCGAGCGTTTAACTCAATAGCTCACGAGTGAAATGTATCGTTGACGAGTGAGAAGTATCGTTGAAACGATCTAAAATGCGTCGAAACACTACAAAAGTAGGAAAGTTCCGTTTCTGTAATACTGTAAATTATTATCTAATTGAAACTTATTCTCATATCTCGTTCTATCCTCGGTTGTCTTTTGTGCACTTTCAGATTTCAGGGATCCAAGAAAGGTTGAATTCCGATATCTTTGTCTATGTACCCACCTCCTCCTCAATCTGTTCATAATGGGCAACGCCGGACAGAATAATTTATTGACAACCGCGTTTGCAAATGGTGATAGTAAAATACTTCAAGCATGTCCTAGTTAGAATCTATTTCTTTTGATGCCAGTCTATACAATACAGACTCATCTAGCCAGTGGAGCAGTTAACAGAGGTTTCAATAAAACTTGATACAATTGATTCGATGTTTCGCATCTGGATTATAAACTATTGAAAAATTCTTGTAGCTTTGTCGTGCTCGGGAGTCAACCAATTTAAAGAGAATAAATGCATTTTGGGAGAACAGTGATGTTTCTGTAAAGGCTGCTAACTGGTAGCCAGCACAATAACAAGCAGTTAAATCTACCCGCTACTTGGCTGCTGATAAAACCTCTGCAGTTACACTTATGTAGTTTAGTTGTCTTTGAACAATTCACATGTGCTTGTTAACACCAAAGAGGTACCCGTCAGGTCAGAAACTTTTTCCTTTTTCTTCTTAATGCAGGCAAGCTATTTCAAAAATGGGGCGGGGGTGTGGGTAGGGGGCATTTCTTTCTGATTTGCTCAAAAAAAGGTACACCGAGTTTTAGTTGTTCTACAGTAAAATCGTACTGTCTATTTACATCCTGTCTTGTTAAGTCTTGACATCTGTGTTATTTTCTGGTCCAATTTCTGAGTGTGATATCTGGAATGGAGGGTTGTTGTGTAAATCTTCACTCATTTCACTCAAATTAAGCTGCCATGTCAAAGTTCTTGTGTTGTCCCATCCTTCATCTCTTAGTTAGAGTCACTATAGATAGCAGACTTAAGAAGCTCCTCATTGAGGATTGAAACATTTCAATTACTAAACTGCTAGTCCACTTCAGGTCATATAGTTACCTGGCGATCTTCTGTCGGTGTCTTTTGGCATGATCTATCTTAATAATTCCAACAAATCACATGTTGTTTGTTGTGGATGGCATCTCACAAACTTCTTATCGATTAATGAATATTGCTCACCAAATTCTATGAATGAATAGGGTCTCTTTGCTCTTTGAACATCTTGAATTTGAAATGTTATTACAAACTCACTCTGAAGCTTCTCAAGAAACAAAAAACCAAAACAGCGGGATAGGAAACAAACTCCAACAGCCTTCACAAAGTTAAAACATGGAAAGAAACAACATAAACTAAAAACTTCCATTTACAACTCAATAGACTCACATTGCTTCCAGGCTACCTCCCTCATCCCCATCTAAAAGATGGAAGCATTGTACTAAACCTGTTCACCCATGAGAGTGAGTAGCATCTAATTTCTCTTTACAATATCTCCCCTGAATTACAGAATAATGTCATGAGAATCAAGAAAATAATTAGTAACTAAATATGCTCTTGATTGCAAAACAATTTCTCCTCATCAGCACCTCAGGAAACGATCTAAAAACAGTATGGAGAATATACATTGTGATCTTAGGAATGGTTCCTACAACACACACTGTTACTCTGAGGCTGGGTAGTGTACATAAATAGTCAGGTACAGGCAACTTAATGTAAAGATTACCATAAACTAGCAAGCAATCTGACTTAAACATAGTTTCTATACTGACAATATTTTCAGGAGTGCCTCTGTCATATTTTTAGGTAAAAAAAAGGGCAGAAAAAGAGTGATTTTGGGGAAAAAATTCTACTTTACACTCATGTGCCACAAAATTAAGTTTGGCAAATGAAAATAGAACGTAGTTGGTCTATAAAATTATTAGGGATAAGACGAACACTGACTATTCAACTGGTTTTGCACATGTAATTATTCTGATAATGAGCAATTGATCATACAACTCACAATTTTCCTCGTCTTAAGCTTGGCGACATGTTCTCGTCTGATCTACGTGTCTTCATCTCGCCTGGTAGCGGCAATCCATTTCGATCTCAATAAATCATTCGAAGGAAAGTGAAAGAAAAATAAATTCTCACCAATTTTGTTTCGTTTGTCGTTACTACAGAAATGAACGCAGCAATGATAATGGGCCATGCTTGCTTGAAATCTTCACTCAAAACACTTCAATGTAACACAACCCTATACCTTGTGCCCGTCCAGCCTCGATTTGGTGCCTCACGCAATCCAAGATGGGGCTGCGTGATAAAGAGCTTATCATTTTGCATTTTATTTTCGTCAAACAACTGCGGTATGGCTTCCTCGTGAACATCACGTGGGCAAAGTCCGGAGTCCTGTTGACTTAGTGCTGGGCTCGTTTAAGTTTACTTCCTTGTTTGACGCTTAGTTGTGTTTACAACTGTGAATGGTTGTCCTATAGTGTATACCAAAGATGATTTCGGCAAAGGTTTCCTTTGTGGTAATTTTGCTAGTGTGGTTCTCTGTCTCTTCTAATTGTCAATGTCCAGCGCGAGACTGTGATGTCACGTCTTGGACATTCTGGAGTCGGTGCACTTCAGACCAATGTGGGCAGTTGGGAGCTCAAAGTCGATCAAGAATGATAGTAACAAGGCCTACTTGTGGTGGAAGAGAATGCCCTGACAACCTTTTCGAAACTCGTCAGTGCTATGGAGGAAATCCAGTTGACTGTGAACTGAGCGAGTGGACAAGTTGGAGCTCTTGCACAACTCCTTGTGGCGCATCGGGAACGCAATCTAGCTCTCGTCACCGAGTTCTTACTGAGAAGTGTGGCGGTACATGTTCGTCTTCTCTCTCAAGAACAAGATCCTGCTTACAGACCAGTTGTTTCAATGGGGGAAGTGTACAAAATGGAGCATGTCGCTGTCGAGATGGGTTTACCGGAAATTGTTGCCAAGGTATCTTGCTAAAGAGAAAAGAAAAGCTCCTCTACAAACACACACACACAAGCACATCTTAATTTTGGAAGCTTATTTTGAACAGAAAATTTAAGGACCAATTTTTTACTTTGATATGCGTATTTCGAAAAATATTTTGGACCCAAAATGGAGAACAGAGACGGTCAAAACAGAACAACTGAATGTTTAAGACAGGTCAATCGGGAACAACTTGGCCATCTTTGCTTGAATCTGCACTTTAATATCAAGGTTTCTGAGCTTTCTCTCCATCGAAACGTTTGAGTGCACTCCCACAGATATGTACCACCGTGATGATCAGTTCGATTCTTATGCACACACGAGTAGCACTTGGGTAAAGATTGGTGACTTTCATGTAGACTTCACCATCTCCGAATGTTGTGAGATTAAAAAGTCTCTCATACTTTTGAATGAAGAACCGAGCTTTCAAAAGAGAGTGACGGTATCTGTTAAAATGAATCTTGTACTTGCGTTACAAAATTTCGACGTTTGTTTTCATTACTTGTTTTCATTACGAATGTCACTGTAGTAAATGATAAGATTTGCTGACAGAAAGTGTGCTTCATTAACTTTTCCATTTCTGAGAAACAATAAGTTATTTTAACTGGAAAGTGTGTCTTTCTTGGAAAGGATGCTTCATGTGTGCATAACTGG